AGGGTGTCATATTTCTTGAGACTGGAGTTAAACAGTTGTGAGTCACCATGTGGGTGCTAGGAATCAAACTCAGGTTCACAATATGAACAGCTAGTGCTCTTAATAGCTGAGCCATCTCTCCATTCCCAAAGAAATTTATTCTTGAGCCAAAAATGAGTGACCATGGCCCAGGAACACAGATTTAGGTAACCCCAGATTTCACGTTCCAACGTGAAGGCAGATTTAGGGAATTTTTTATAGTAACGCAACAAACATTGGTTAAGGCACTATTTGAGCACATGGGTGGGAACATTAGGAAGATGGGTTAGGGCAAGCCAGGAAACCTCACTATAGGCCTCAGATGCTCGCTGATGACATTCTTAGCTTTTTTGGTTGGTGGACTAGAGTTTTGTTAATGTATTCCAAAGGGTTTATCTGTTAGTCACAGGATGTTAGGTCAGACACAGAAGTGGGCAAGGAATGCCTATTTATATAAATTGTAATTAGGCTTGCAACATTCCAAACTCCCTACAATCCTTGAAGTTCTAATTAGTTAATCAGCCTTGCAGGAGGTTCAGTGGAAGGTCAGCTTCTTTCTGGGAGTCTTCATTCACCCATCACACACCGGTTAAAAGAAATGGAGAGGCATCACATTACAAGGAAGGCAATCAGTCTGTTTGCAGAGGTCGTGACCTTAATTTAGAAACAATACAAACTCCACTCCTCAAAACCACTAGAATCAAACTAAGCCAAGTTTCAGGATACAAAACCAACACTCAGAGCTGGACTAGAGGTAGAGCAACCGCCTAGCAGATGTGAGACCCTGGCTTCTGTCAGCACTGCAGACACCAGAGCAGGTGGCTTGGCTTGCCCTTGGGCTGCTCATGTGGCCACACCCAACACCTGCTTCAAGTGTAAGGAGTGCCAGCCTCAACTGTGCCAGGCCATAAACCCTCCCAGGCTGTCAGTGATTCCACTGCTGCCATTTCCAGCTTTAAGAGACATGGGCGGGCGGGGGTGGGGGGTGGGGGGGGGTGTTATTCAGCAATCTGCAGATTTCTATGAATTCCAGAGGAAACCTTCTCAAAGGATCACCTCAGACTGGAGTGTTTTCTAGACGGCTTTCTCAAGTTACTGAAGGGACAGAAGAATGGGGCTGTCAGACTTACAGATGAGGAAAGCCACCACCTCCAATAATCAGGACTAACCCGTTACATCATGCTTGCAAATGCCTCTCTTGGGGGAAAAAAAACCACACAGGCTGCTGCTCTCTTCCCATCTTGGGACTGTTTTGGTTTCTCATGCCTCACAAAAGTTCTCTGAGTCTTTCTGCACTGTTTCCCTGACCTGACGTGAAGCAGTGGAACATCCTCGCCCCCTGCCCTTGTTAGTTTTACTTGGAGTGATGGTAGCTCAAGAGGGCTACCCTGAATTTTCTCCTCCCCCTAACCGCTAGTGCTGCTGGAAGAGGTCCAGCCCTAAGTTGAGGAAATGGACTTAGGAGGTGCCAAGTACTCAGGGATAATGAAAATCCCAGGGTCTTGTTAACGCTGCAAGCTGACCAAGCAGGCAGATCCACACTGCTGCATTCTGACAAGCTCCCAAGGGGTCCTCATGCTGCTGGCCCAGAGCAAGCTTCTGTGACGGTCTGATGAGAATGGCCCCCATAGGCTCATGTATTTGCGACTGCTCCGCAGTTGGTGGGAACCGTTTGGGTAGGATTCGGAGGTCTATCACTAGGCCATTCCCAGTGAGCTCTTTTCTCTACCCTTACTGGGAGATCAGATGTAAGCACTCAGGTACTGCTTCAGTGCCTGCCTGCCTGCCTGCTGCCATGCTCCCCACCATGATGGTCATGGACTCGCCCTCTGAAACCAAGCAAGCCCCAATAAACTCTTCTGTAAGTGTCTCTTCAAAGCCACAGAAAAGGAAGACTGCTTCTAAGGAGCAAGGGGCAAGACCAAGTAAAGCAGAGGATGGAAACGGAAAGGACGGGCTTCAGCAGAGGTCACAGCTGTCACACACCTCATCTCCAAGGTCTCCGCAAGGTCCTGTCTTAGGTCTTTAAGAACCCGGGCACACAAAGGCCCAGGCCCAGCCGCATCCAGGCAAAGGATTACTTCATACCCTCCTGTACATTCTATCTAGGAAGGCAGCTCTGCCTTTGGGGCAGCCGTTACAGAATGGGTTCCTCAGAAGGGAAGGATGGCAAACGAGCTCTCTGGCATCCTTGGCCTTACTCCAGGCTCTGCCCCAGTGGACTGACCTTCACTTTTTCCAGCAGCAGCTTCATTTACTGAATGCTGACCGACTTAGGTATGTGCAGAAACTGCTTCACTGAACTCTGCTAACTTCTCCCTAAGGAAAGTTACCCCACTTTATAAAGCAAGTAAGGTGATTTGTCTAACACCTCATAGCTAAGAGTGCCCTTTGCTCCCATGCATTAAACCATAAGCCACACAACTTTGGGACAAGAAGTCTTTGGATAAGATTAAGATGACAGGTCAAAAAGCCAAAGGGCAATGATTGGCAGGCGATACTTCAAAGGCCAGAGGTCACCGTGGCACTGTCCTAGTACCAGGTTCCTTTGTTGTACACCAAGACACTCTTCTGAGCTAGCTAGTCAGTGTAGGTTCTGGACCCAGGGGATGAAGGAAAAGGTTCCAGGCAGAGGCCTGACTCATCAACTGTTCAAAGGGTAGCTGGCCTACATGGCAGCAGGTGGAGGACCACAGAGGAAGTCTGAATTAAGCAGAGCCAGCTCACCTGTCCATACTGCAAAGGCAAATGTAATGCCTGCATTTCAGCGCTTCATTTGACAGTTATTGGGAGGAAATTTGTAGTCTGGTAAAGAAATAACCAAGTAGTGGGGACTACAGTGATTTGGGAAGTCCTGCTCAGTTAAAGCTACCTTTACAATTTGCTCCAACATGCTCAACAACCTCCTTTTTAAAAGAAATCAAACATTAGCATCACATAACTCTTTTAAACAAAATGCAAGCCAACAAGTGACCATTAGTTTGCAACCTCTGTTCCTCAGTGATCATCCCATCTGTTTTTGCTGTACCTCCAGAAGAATGGAAACAGTCAATTCATGTATGATCTACTGGCCATATGTGGCACTTTCCACTACAATGGCAATGAATGGGTCTGGACTCTCCATCACATGCAGAACACCACAAGTAACCGAGGTAGATTCTGCTTTGGATTTCCTGGAAAGTGTAATAGTTCTCACAATTACTTGTGCCATCTAGTTTAGTCAACAGCCCAAGACAGCAGGCTGCTTTTAGGCAAACACTCGTTGGATAAATGGCCTTGGTCTCTACTGCTCCTACTGTACAAACCCCTGTTCCCATTCCTTTTTCTTGCTCAATCCCCAAAGGCATTAATTTAAGCTTGGGAATTTTTTTCTAACACAGGACTTTTGCAGAGATTAAAATCATACAGAATTAATGAGACTAGGTGCACAAGGTCTCAGCAAACAGTTTAAGGAATGTTTACTGGCTGGAGAGATGGCTCAGTGGATAAGAGCATGTAGTACTCTTGCAGAGAACCTGAATTGCAGAGAACCATATTAGCACCCATATTAGCAGTTTAATAGCCTGTACTTCCAGCTCCAGGGGATCTGGTCTCTGTGAGTACCCATATATATGTGCCATATACATATGCATAATTTTTTTTAATCTTAAAAAAAGTTTATCGTCAATATGGAGATTTAGACCTTTTCTATAAAGCACCAAAGAATACAATTATAGTCAATGCATACAAGTCTGATTTTGGTTTAATAAGAGATATCTGTGTATCTCTTATTAATGAGGCCATCAAGATGAGATTACTAGTGTGATTAGTGTCATTCCTCATGGGACAGTAGAGGGGGGTTCTAGCCCCAGACAGAAGTCTAATTATGTACCTATACAGGATAGAAGTGTTGTCTATGACATAGTGAGAGGGAAGAGTGCCAGCAACAGTGAGGCCTCCAGACCGGGCACTGGGAAAATGTGGCTGGCTTCCTTGGAGATGTGTGTGTGTGTGTGTGTGTGTGTGTGTGTGTGTGTGTGTGTAACAAAACAGAAAAAAGAGATCACAGAACCATACAACTGTGCCTGTTTTCCGTTTCTTTTCTTTTGAGACAGGATCTCACTATGCAGCTTTGGATGTACTAGAACTCACTATGTAGAACAGCTTGGCTTTGAACTCAAGAGATCCATCTGCCTCTGCCTCCAGAGTGCTGGGATTAAAGGTGTGTGCCCCACCACCATGCCCACCAGGGGCATATGTTTCTGTGCTCACAACTGTCTGGAAAGGAACACAGGAGCTTATGTGGGCAACCGGAGATGACCCCGAACAGATGTTCCCCTTGCGTTCTATGCCCCTCTATCATTTCTTTCTCTTTGTAGCATCAACCCTATAAATACCAAGCTCTTTGGTTTGGCTGAGCCAATCTAGCCTTAGCTTTGTAAGCAGTGCTCAACAGGGAGCTTTAAATATCCTATGCCACTTCATACCTTTACCAGCAAGGTTCTAGAGGTGTTCAGCATCAAACCCTTCGGGCTCCCCTCCAATTTTTAAATACAGCCAAACATGGCAGCTGCTGGGGGTCACTGTCTTACTACTATGTGTCTAACTCCACTGGCGAGCTCCCTAGCCCCATGGCTCTGAAGATACTATCCAAACACCGACTCGAACGTTTCTGTCTCCAGACGAGACCCAATCCAACTTCCTGACAGCATTGTGACTGTCTCCTGCCTCCGTTGCTCTCCCTGGGTGCTGAGTTGGCATCTAGTTTCAACACATCCAAGTTACCTTTCCCCCCAAACGCCCCTATTCACCGCCTTCCAAGTCTCAGCTGATGACACATCCAGACTTCTACTTGCCCAAGTCCATAACCTCAGAGGAAACACTGACTGGAAAGCAGAGTCTGACTCATAAAGCCAGTTACCTAAAAACAAAGGTAGTCCTGGGTACCGGGATTAAATACATCATATCATTAGAATGCTTTTCTAAAACATGCCTAAAGTTAATCGTTTTAAGCCTAGAATTTTAATTATGACACTTTAATATTTTATAAAAAAAAAAAAAAAAAAAAAAAAGGTCACTTTTTGCAAGCTAAAAACCAGATTTGACCTAATACATTTGTAGGGATTCTGGCCAAGTCTCGTAATCTTTAGCAGAATGATGTCATAGCGGTAGGTGCCAGCAGTGGGTTACAAACTCCAAGTACACTTATCTACAGTTTTACTAAGAAACAGCCAAAGTCTAGTCCTTAAAGATGATTCACACAACCTCTTTATCTATGAAAGACAGATTCACCTAAGTTTTTTGTGGGTAACCTATGGAGAAACCAGAGTAAGTATTTTGTTATTGTTTTTTTATTTGAGATAGGCTTTCTATTTGGTAGCCTTGGTTGTCCTAAAACTCCATATGAAGACCAGGCTGGCCTTGAACTCAGAGATCAACCTGCTTCTGCCTCTGAGGTGTTGGGATCAAAGTATGTGCCATCATATCCAACAAAGTTTTCTTTTAAAGATTTGTTTATGTATATGAGTGGTCTATCGAAATTTTGCCTGAAGGGCATCAGATCCCACTATAGATGGTTGTGAGCCACCATGTGGGTGCTGGGAATTGAACTCAGGACCTCTGGAAGAGCAGCCAGTCCTCTTAACCACTGAGATATCTCTCTGGCCCCACAAAGTTTACATTTTGAAAACCTACTTTGGGGTTTAAAAATTCTAGGTTGCTGTCAATTTTTTTTTAAAAAGCCTATTACAAATGGATCCCAGATACTTGGTTTTATCAGGATATGAAGGTAGAGGAAAGTATATGGGATAAGAGATATTTTAATTTTACCAGGATGTAAAGGTAGAGAAGAGTGTGAGAGATAAGATAGATATTTTAAAAATAAATTACTTAGTAATAAGAAACTAGACATAATACATTTTCCATATACTACAAAAACAAATTGACGATGGAGGCAAAATGCAGGCTCACCCCAAAAGAACACTTTCCACCTCAGAATACAGCCTGCCAGACAGTTAGCCTCACTGTTCTTACATGATGCATACGCATGTGGAAAAACTTGTCAAGCTTTGCCAGGGCCAGCAGATGAAAACATAACAGGTCCTAATTAGCTAATTATAAAGCATGAGCATTTTGGAAAAGGACTCATACAATCCGGCCATTGTTTTGCTAAACATCTGCAAATTGTAGACTTCCTCAGCCCTTAGCCAAAGTTCCCGCTTGATGTCTTAAAGTGGGTGCACTGTGTCTCTTCTCAAGGCTGAGGTGACTGTTAGTCATCAAAGTCTGGAATGTCATCATAGGAGTAACCTCGGTAGCCTTTGGATGCATAGTAGGCGATGCGTAAATGGTAAAATCCTGGCAGGAACACCAAAATGCCAATGATGAGGACAGGAACAGCTCGGTCTGCCCCCTGGTGGCAGAAGGAAAACATTAGTATCATATAAATTACACCTTTATATCTCTTCTTTCTGATCATAAATTGTCACCTCCTCTTTTTCTTCTCTGTGTTGGGGATCAAATTAAGACCTTGGGCATGTTAGGCAAGCACTACACTCCCAATTTCCTTCTAATTACAAATTAAGCCATAAATTCAAAATTATAAAAAAGAAAAACTATTTTAACCAGATATTAGGCTTATTTCCTTCTGCTCTTTCTTTCAAGCTCTCTCTCTCTCTCTGTGTGTGTGTGTGTGTGGTGTGTGAGTGTGTGGTGTGTGTGTGTGTGTGTGTGTGTGTGTGTGTGTGTGTGTGTGTTGTGTTTGGTGGGTACATACTATCTGTGTCTACAAGCGTGCATGCAGATGTATACATGTGCACCAGAGGTTGACCTCAAGCAACTTCCTCAAGGCTTTCCACCTTATTTATTTTTTAAAAAGATTTACTTATTTTAAATATATATGTATGGGTATGTCTTGGTCACTTTTCTATTGTGAAGAGAAATCGTGACCAAGGCAATTTATAGAATAAAGAATTTACTGGAGGCTTGCTTACAGTTTCCGAGGGTTAGAGTCCATGACCATCACGGTGGGGAGTGTGGGAGGGCACTGGGGCAGTAGCTGAGACCCTTTCTCTAATCTACAAACACAAGGCAGAGAAAACAGAGCTAATCCTTCCTAAACAGTCCACCAGCTGTGGACCAATCTCTCAAATAAATGAGCCTATGAAGGCTGTTTTCACACAAACCACCACATTCCACACCTTGGTCCCCCCCATTGACTTGTTGCCATATCATAATGTAAAATGTATTAGTCCAACTTCAAAGGTCCCCACAGTCTTTTACAGTTTCAACAGTTTAAAAGTCTAAAGACTATTCTGAGACCATAGTCATGGACTCTACCCGTCCCTGGACTGTGAGTTCTGAATTACATGCTTTCTTTATAAGTTACCTTGGCCATGGTGTCTTATCATAGCAATTAAAAAGAACTAAGGCGGGGGCTGGAGAGATAACTCAGAGGAAGAGAGCACTGGCTTCTCTTCCAGAGGTCATGAGTTCAATTCCCAGCAACCACATGGTGGCTCACAACCATCTATAATGAGATCTGGTGCCCTCTTCGGGTATGCAGGCATACATACAGTCAGAACACTGTATACATAATAAATAAATCTTAAAAAAAAAATTCAAGCACTAGGAAGGCAGAGAGGTGGATCTCTCTGAGGGCAGCCTGGTCTACAGAGCAAGTTCCATGACAGCTACTGCTACATAGTGAGACCTTGTCTCAAAATTCCTAATTAAATAAACAAATAAATAAAATTTCAAAAGACATTTTTCAAAATAAATAACACGTAAAATAAAATAACAAAAAATTGGCTGGCAAGATGGCTCAGAAGTTAAGAGTACTGGCTATTCTTCCAGAGGTCCTGAGTTCAATTCTGAGCAACCACATCACGGCTCACAACCAGCTGTAATAGGATCTGGTGCCCTCTTCTGGAGTTCAGGCAAACACTAGACATAATATTTAAAAAAAAAAAAAACCAAAGCCTAAGGCATGTATTTTGCATGTATGTATGTATGTGCACTACAAGTGTACCTAATCCCCATAGAGGTCAGAGGATGCCCTAGAACTGGAGTTACAGACAGCAGTCATGTGGGTGTTGGGAATTGAACACAATCCCCTGGAAGAGCAACCAATACTTTTAACCACTGAGCTAACCCTTCAGCCCCAAGAATTATTTTTAATTATGTTCTACATTTATTTTAATTTACTTTTAATTATGTTCCTAAGGGTAGGTGCTAGAAGTGGTCAAAAGCTTTGGGTTCCCCTGGAGCTGGACTTACAGGCAGTTGTAAGCCACCCAACTTGAGTTTTAGAAATCCAGCTTGGGTCCTCTGTAAGAGCAGTGTAAGTTCTTAATGGTGAAGCCATCTTTCCAGCTCCTCTGCCTTATCTGTGAGACAGTCTCATCTCTTACTGAACCTGGAGCTCACGAATTTGGCTAGAATGGCTTGGCTAGCCAGCTCTGGGCATCTGCCTCTGCCCTGCAGCATACCGACACATCTGGCTTTTATGCCGGTGCTAGGAGTCAGAATTCAGGTCCTTAAGCACTTTCTTGAGGAGCAACCTCCCTCCCTATCACTTTTTTCAAGTTCTTTGTTGTAAACACACCATACACTTGTCCTCTAATAGTACTAATACTGAGTAATATTTAGTTAATATTACTTAAGGTAGACACACCTTTAATTGCAGCACTCTGGAGGCAGAGGCAGGAGGATTTCTAAGTTCAAAGCCAGCCTGGTCTACACAGTTGAGTTCTAGGACAGCTAGGCCTGCATAGGGAAACCCTGTCTTTTTGGGGGATTTTCAAGACAGGGTTTTTCTGTGTAGTTTTGGTGCCTGGCCTGGATCTCGCTCTGTAGACCAAGCTGGCCTTGAACTCACAGAGATCTGCCTGGCTCTGCCTCCCGAGTGCTGAGATTAAAGGCGTGCGCCACCACTGCCTGACTAGGGGAAAACCGTGTCTTTAAAAAAAAAAACCACCTAAATATTGCTTAATCTATAATGGCATGTAACATTTCTCTGAAATGCATGTCCCACAATTTTATTTAACTGTCATCTGAGCAACTAGATGCTTAATTTTTGTTTTTTTAAACTATAAAACACCAGTAGGAACTGCATTTTTTCTAGGGTGTGAAAGAATGGACCTGCATTATGATCAGAATATCTCTTTAGAAGTATTCACAGCACAGAATATATAAACATTACCCAAGGAGAACTACCAAGCACCACTTAGGCTTTGAATACTGAAACTCAACAGGACTCAGAGCAAACCAATGGAAAAAGGAAACCAATTACAAGGTGCAGCGGCCACATACACAAGACTCACTGCTTTTCCCCAGACACTGATCAGTGTGTACATACTGCTACAAAACTACAACGATGGTACATTACTCTAGCTACAGCCTTGTGCTAGTCTGGAAGCCCGAAACCAGGCACAGCTGCATTATTCTAAACTGTATCAGAAGCCATACCTGGCGAGCACCCACCTTAGAGGAATTATGGAGGCATCTGCGCAAAGGGGAAAGCAGAACAAAAGGACACCATGCCATATTACTTTAGTGGAACCCACTGCACTTCTGGAACACAAAACAGCGCTCTGGCTCTGAAAGACCCATGGCGTATTCCCACACACCCATTAGCTTACCCCTTTGCTGATGTAGCCCGATAGCAGGAGAGAGCCTATGATTATGAGAAAGGTGCCAATCAAAAACAGCACGGTGGCAAGTGCAATGGCCTTATAAGGGATCTTAGGAGGGCTTTTCTTAAACTGGAAGAGAGAGAGAAAAACAACGACAAAGAACATTATGAAAACACCTAATGTACTTAATGTACATTAAGGCCTAATGTACTTAGCAAGGGAGGGTAATTAAAACCAAAGTGGATGCGTCAGGTGTCCACCAGTATGTCCACCAGTCAGTGCAGTAGAGCAGGGACAGGACTAGGTGCAGTCCTGCTATTCCAGACCCCTCACGACAACCAAGGAAAGCTCTTTAGAACTACTGTCACCTAGGTGCTGGACACGTGTTTACTAAGTGCATGTGCATGGAAACTTGTCCGAACCTGCGGGGATTTCAGAGTGAGCACCATGCTACGCAAAGTGAAAAGGTGACTTCTGGAAATGAAGGTAACTTAGCATGCAGTCAGTCAAAAGTTTAGAAACAGAATTTCAGCTTTCCTTTCTTTTTAAAGATTCATTTTGTTTTTAATTATGTGTCTGTGTGTGGATACGTGCATGTGAGTACAGATGCCTGTGCAAGTCAAAGAACTGGATCCTCCTAGAGCTGGAGTTACAGGCAGTGTAAGTCACTGGACATAGTTGCCAGGAACCAACTTGGGTTCTCTGCCAGAACAGTACTTGTAGGCCGGAGAGATGGCTCCAGGGTCAAAACGTTTGCCTTCCAGATGATCTGAGTTCAATTCCCAACACTCACATGGTGACTCACAGTCTGTAACTCCAGTTCCAGAGGATCTTCTGGAACTCTCCTGGCCTCTTTGGGTACTGTATATTCATGGTACATGGACCCAGGTTTGGTTCCTAGTACCCACATGGTGGCTCATAACCATCTGTAACTCTACTTCCAGGAGATCCAATGCCTGTTTTTGGCTGCCTTGGGCATCAGGCACACACGTGGGGCATATGAAAGCAGGACACTCATACACATAAAACATAAATATAAAATATTAAAAACACTAGAACAGTATGTGCTCTTAACTGCTGAGCCACCTCTCCAGCCCAAATTTCAGCTTTCTCAAAGCCCCCTGCATTATGAGTAAATTCAGCTAAGATTCAGGCTAAAATACAGCATGAACACATATGAAAATGTTATAATGGGGTTGGAGAGATGGCTCAGAGGTTAAGAGCACTGACTGCTATTCCAGAGGTCCCGAGTTCAATTCCCAGCAACCACATGGTGGCTCACAACCATCTGTAATGAGATCTGGTACCCTCTTCTGGCCTGTAGGCATATAGAAACACTGTATACATAATAAATAATAAAACTTAAAAAAAAAAAAAAAAGAAAATGTCATAACGAAGCCCATTATTATGTACAAACAATATATGCTACTAAAAACATTTTTAAAAAGGTTTGGAGGCAACCTTCTAAGGTTTGGCTCATTAATGAATCTGACGTTAAGTGTTTGGAAGCACCCCAGAGCTATTCTTACCTCTTCTTCAAATAAGTCCAAAGAACAATTGATTTATTTACCTTTAAAAGAATGGATCCCTGCTTGCTACTTCACTCTTGGCTCAAGCTCCACCCAGACTACTCTGTCCTAAGGGAGAGGAGGACAAAGGAGACGCTAGCCCACTTACTAGGCAGGGGTCAGGAGAGGGCACAAACTTTATTACTTTCTGTTTGCCATAAAGAGTATCTGTAACTAACTGCATCTCATGACACGAGGAAAGAAGATATTTTCTGGGTAAGTTAAATAAAGTTTGTAGCTACATGGCTTTGGTACTTCAACTGAAACCGCAAGCAGATAACTCTGGAACTATCTAAAACTGCTCCACCAAAATCCCTTCTCCAACTGGGGCTGCAAGGGTCTTGGAAATAAGCTTGCTTTTTGCTGGTCCCGATAACAGATACACAGCAGCTAAATGGCTTTGGCTTTTTTTTTTTCAATTGTGTTACCTGAAGGTCAATGTAGCCATCGTCTGTGCTGGAAAGCCTTGAATACTTTACTTTACTACTGGGGATTCCAGTGGCCAGGTTGGTACGAGATGGCATCATAACACGGTGACACAGCGAGTCTGAAAGGGAGAGACCGTTAATGTCCGTAGGAATAACAGTACATTACAGGCAAGGACATCAGATACCGTGTCCTGGAGTTCTGGCTGCCATGCTATGTATCACATACACGGCAACGTAGGCTTCACTGCTCTTACGATGACCTGATACTTCTTGGACACACTAAGCATACTTCCCTTTTGTAGCTGGCTTGTCTTCACAGAATGACACCAAAGGCATTCCACAAAGAATCAGACCCAGTGTATTTTGCCACCAATGTTTCCTGCCTAATTTTTCCAAAGTCACATGGAGTTGATGAAGACTTGAACCCGATGTTCACATTTCCAAGCTCCCTCCCCAACAGTACTGCTTGCCCCTTAACGTTCCTCAGGCGCTTCAAGTAATTCTTTTTTTTTTGCTACGAAGGGGAAGGATAAGGAATGGTGTACACTCATATCAGCATCTTATCTACTCAAATGTGATATCAGCATCTTGTCTACTCAAATGTGATACCATCCTAAGTGCAAGCGATCTGAAAAATCTTATCAATGTGGGTAACTTACTGGCTATCAATACCACACCAGACACTTCAGAGCCACCTGCCTCTCTGCTCCCATCCCAAGCATGAAACAAGTGATTCTACTTTCCACATCATGTAGCTCCTGAAAAAATGGATTTAAAAGTCTGTTTTACTCCAACTATTCAGACAGCAGTAATAAAGTCACATCTACTGTATTATTTGAGAGTAGTTAAGATTAAAAAACAATGACGATTAAATGTTAAAATTTTGAAATGTGAGCTCAGTATTGCAGTAGACGACTGTAATACCAGCTAATTGGGAGGACAGGCGTGAATATACAAAGTCGAAGGCCAGTCTGGGCTGTATATTGAGACCAGATGCTCTCCCCTACCAAAACTGAAATTTGTTGATTCTTTATAAAGTCATAAAATTATGTGAGCAAAACAGACTATTCCAATTGCAAAAGTATTTGAATTTTAAATGTAAAAGCCTATCTTTAAGAAGAAAACTAAGTATTTCAGTAGCCAGACCTTCACTGGTGTGGTATTTTGCACATCATCTCCATAATGGCATGTGGTATTTATTCCATGTTGGTGAGGTGCCAGACTCTGCTATTACAGTCGACCTAAGGTAACTAGCATGCAAAATCTAGTGCCAAGTGGTCCTGCCTTTTTGTTAACTACATCCAGAAGCTGAATATTAAAATGGAGCAACGCAAATCCACTTGCGCTTCTAAAAAAAAGTTAGATCAAGTAGCGTTAAGTACCAGGTTTTTGTTGTGGCCATCCCATAATATGCTTAATTGCTCAAACCTGGAAGTTCAAGCTAACAAACAGTTTTGAGGCAATAAACCACGCCTGGTTTGATTACATGCTACAAAGTTGCGTGTTTTGCCATTAAACTGTCATCAAAACAAAAATGTTGCGGGGCATGGGCGAGAAGATTTGTGCTTTTCTTAGCAAAGGATTCTAGAAGGGAGTTAGTTATCACATCCTAAATGACAAGTCGAAAAAAAATAGCAGCCCAAGTTTCTACGATGCCTTTTACGGGTCCCACGGCAACCTTCGCCACCCCCCGCCCCCCAAGCACCTGCGCGTGGCGCTGTGGGCAGCCTCCCGCCGCCGGCCTCCGCCGTCTCCACCCACGGTCAGGACCCACGCGAACTTGGCGCTAACAACACTGGCTCCGGGGAGCGCCTCGGTGGCGGGGCGAGGCCTCGCGGCTGGCTTCCGGGAGCGTGCGCCCGCCCCTACCCGCGCAGCGCGCCCCGTTCTCCGTTAGGCGCGCGGGCAGCGCTCGCCCAACAGCCAACCGCGGTCAGAGCGCGGGCCCGCCGGAAGTGGTGTGCAACCGGAGGCGCACCGGAAGTGGCGCCACCAGGAAGCCACGTCATCGCGCCCAGCGGCGCAAGGTTGGAGAGCTTCAACTTTTTAAAGTTTCTCCATGTAGGGCTGGCCGTCCTGGGACTCACTACGCTGACCAGGCTGGCTTCGAATTCAGCCATCCCCCTGCCTCTGCCTCCAGCGGGCCTGCCACCTCCATATGGCGGGCGGTTCCTCCCACCGGGGTCGAACACTACCTAGCAAGCGTGTCAATGTGGTTCCAGCCCAGACCTTTCATGGACAAGTTGGCAGAGCCGAGTCCCCGGGACCCGGAGGGTGGGCAAGGGACTGGCCAGGACTCTTTCCCTGTCCTAGAAGCCCCAAGCGGACACTGGTCTGTACCCACTGGCATTCCCTTAGCCCCAGATTTTTGTGCTCGTTTCCCTGTCTGGTTATCAGATCACACTCAGGTTAGAGTCCTACCGACTAGACACAATTACATGCAACAGTGATCAGCCTTCATAAAGCATGTCCATCACCCCAGAGTTCTAAGTGAGGTATACTGGCAGCCAATTTCCTCCTCTACGTGTTGGCACAAAGCTTTGAATGTAGTAGTAGCTACTGGCTATGAGCTCTAATCAACATCCTACAATTATCAAAGCTGTACCCTCCACAAACTGCCAAATACAAAATACAATGGGAAAACTAATTTGGGGACTGTGGAGATAGCTTAGTATTTAAAAACCCTCAAAAGTGTGGTCCACCCGTAAATCAGCCTGGAAGCAGATAGGACTTGCTCTACTAGCCCTGGGTTTGAGACCCTGCCTCAACAAGGCAGAAACAAAAAATGACTCCCTACATCAACCCAGGCTTTCTACATGCATACCCACATACCTGCAAAATACACTCACATAAAAACTGAAAAGGGCCGGGCGGTGGTGGCGCACGCCTTTAATCCCAGCACTCGGGAGGCAGAGCCAGGTGGATCTCTGTGAGTTCGAGGCCAGCCTGGTCTACAGAGCGAGATCCAGGAAAGGCGCAAATCTACACAAGAGAAACCCTGTCTCGAGAAAAAAAAAAAAAAAAACCTGAAAAGGGATGGTGGGGTCATTTGGGAGAGCAATGCTTAGTGAGTGAAGGTGCTTGTCTGCAAGCCTTAAGAACTGCATTCAATCCCTGGGAAGCCACATCGTAGTGGGTGTACGAATTCCTAGAAGTGTCCTCTGCACGCCACATGAGCGTACACACACAGTGGAGATAAAGCATTCAAGTATGTAGCATGTCATGACTTTTCTTCAAACCCACAAGGCCTTTTTAACCCTTGCTTGGATCAAGTATCCATAAAGTTTAAATTAGACCTTTGAGATGGAGCGGGTAGTGTCTATGTAGTCCTGGCTGGCTTAGGAAGAGATCCACCTGCCCCTTGCCTCTGTGCTGGAAGTATTTTAAAAGCTACGTCCCAAACAAGACTACTCATGCTACAAAAATTTTTGTATAACCTAATCACACAGACTAAAGCTAAACATTTTTTGTTATCTCCATGATGTATTAACTCTAGGCTGCTTTAAAATGGAAGAGAACAAAATACCATTTACATAAAAGGGTAACTTTCACTCAGAGTCCAGTAGACATGGTTCAAAGACACTGCTTGACTTTTGAAATTCAGTTAACTTTATTTAAATTGAAAAACATTTCTTGAAACTGCGTTTAGTGCCAAAATCCTTTATAAAAATCACCAGTATTTCTAAAGCAGAAATATTTATGTTAAAAGAACGTTTTTACTTTGGAGTTTATTCTTTAGACAAATGGTGGAGAATAGAGAGGAGAAAGTAGGTTATTTACAGAAGATATCTACATATGTACTCAGGTACAAAGTCGGTGACAGAAGAGACTTCGAAACACGCTGGCATCTCAGAAGATGTTCTCAAAGACTTCGTTTTCTCAGATTCTAGCAATGCCTAAGATCCTTCTTCATCTTCAATCTTGGGAGCCAAATAATACTTTAAGTGTCCCATGTCAGAAATTTTATACTCTACAACTGAAAGACAGGAAAAATTAGTTACCAAGGAGTACTATAAATAACACACTACAAAATAATGTTCAAACTTAATATCTTACCAAGGGGTACATCTGCAGACATACTGAGTGTTACTGTAGGAGACAGTGGAGTGGCTTTTGTGAAAAAGTTCAGGTACCTCAGTGCAAAAGTTAGCTGAACTGGCTCATTCATCTCTATGGTTACCTAGAGGAGAAAACAGGCTCATTATAGACAACATCAAGAAACTTATACTAAATTAGTTCATAATATACAGTACAAAACAAAAACCTTTAGTTATCACTTTGAAGGGTTTTATGAAAACTTTGAAGACTGACTAAGGAAAAGCAATGTATTTAGCTTGTCTCTCCCATAGAACCATACCCCAAACAACCAAGACAAAGGAGTTGGCTGTTATCCAGATTACAAACACTAATCTCTTCCAAAAAATGTATATAGCGAGGAAAAAGTGGAATGGCAGCTAACCAGTAAAGCACTTGACTAGTATGAGTAAAGTCCTGGGTTCAATGTCGAACACTCAATTCCGACCCCCAAAAGTACCCAGGGCTGGAAAGCTGGCTCAGCGGTTAATACTCAATGCTTTCCCAGAAGACCCAAATTTGGTTCCCAGCATCCACAGCCAGCAGCTCATAACCAACTCTAGTAACTTCAGTCCCAAGGTATCTGACACCCTTTTCTGACCTCATGGGCTCACACTGACACACAACCATGTCTAAAAATGAGTTAAAAAACCCAACAGGTTGAATGCAAGCTAAGGGACATGTTGACCACTTTTCACTGTATCACCATCAATTTTATTCAACTCCCAATTCAAACTAATGAAATAAGGAGCATGTGAATATGAAAAATTCCTTCTTTTTCCTTGTTGTAGTAACGCTTATACTTCGCACAAAAATACTTATGAATTAAGTGTCTTGAGATCTGAGGATGACAGGGAAGTAGAGATAATTCAGCAGACAGATTAAAGAACCAATCCTATGGGTTGTATATGTATCTATGTTCTAATCCTTAGTTATACATTTATTTTAAATTCATGAAGAAGGCAAAGAAATTGTATTAAATACTCTGTGATAAGCACCACAAGTTTCACTATATTTAACACTAAAAAAATCCTATTTAGTTCAGACTTCTGTGTGCAATTTAGAATTTGATGCTTAGGCTAGATGGCAAAATTTTTTAAAGAACTTAGTATAATTATAAAAAAAAAAGTTGCATGAAGTCTATTTCCTTTGTTCCTGTGGTACTCTATATTAAGCCCTGTTGCCTGTGACTCAGTCTAAGTTGCCATTCAACTTTGCTCAGTCAGCTTTTGTACCATTAAATGGGCTAGCAAGTGAACCTCCCAACACATAAAGCTACGAGAAGATCTACACGATCAACACTTTTACAACCCCCCAACCACTTTCTTCTGTTCACTTGCTAATCCTCACTTATTTGTCAGTCATTTTTAGGTTGGATACCTAGCTTTCCAATCTCACCAGTGAAAGCATATGTGGCATATGGAGGCATCTGAGTTCAAAGACAGCCTGATCTACTCCGACTCCATCTCAAAAGCTAGGGCTGGAGGGCTAGCTCAATAGTTAAGCTTTCAGACATTAGTTGGGCAACAGCTCTTACTACTTACAGCTTCCTCCTCTTTATCAACATTACTTGTTTGTGACAACTTAATGTTTCCATTCCCAAGCTCTCCACTTGCAGAAAACTTCACCCCGTCCTTTGCACAGGATATTACAACAGCATCTCCAATATGGCTAAGGTCTCGGCATATGCGTGCAAATTCTCCAGAAGGCATCTTTACTACACAGCTGTACTCCTGTTCCTGTAAATCCCAAAGTTAAAGGTCAGTAAAGAGAAGCGTGAAGAGTGCTTTACTTTCTCGAGCATCTAACCAGAACTCAGAACACAAAACTTCTGGTTTCTTTACATCTCAATTTTAGACTCTCACAGCTTAGTGAAATCGTGTCATTCATTCAGTACCACAACCCCACTTTGGAACATGCACCAGCTGGTATCACAACTTGGTAAAATGCACCATCAAAAACTAAGATACCCTCTCAGCACTAGGGAGGCAGAGGCAGCCAGATCTCTGTTGAGTTCAAGGCCAGCTTGATCTACAGAGTGATTTCCAGGACAGCCAGGGCTACACAGAGAAACCCTGGCTTGAAAAACCAAAGCAAGATACTCACAGGGATCCCAAGTTGTTCAACGTCTAAGTCCATTAACTTCATTTCATAGTCTGAAACTTTCTCTTGATCTAACAAAAGAAAGCAAATGTTACTGAAGCACACGTTCATATCTATGGTGTAAAATTCACAACCACAATTCTGTTAATATTCTTAGTTTTGAGAAACAGAACATCATACTTTGCTTTCTGTAACAACTGAGTTTTAAAGGTGTAACTTACTTGGTGCTTCAAATACTAGCGCTAAGGTATCAGCATTATCTTCAGCTCTTAATGTAATGATGTCTTCATTACCAGCACATTTTAGTATTTTGGACATGCTAGAAAACAAGACACAGGGCTTATCAACACATGTGCTCAACAACTATATTTTTAAAGGCAATTACAAGATGTTACCATTTCACACCCACCCCGATGGAGGAACTGTTAGAGGCTAAGAGTACCCCAAATACTCTCAGGGGGTGAAGTAAATCAGGAATATGTGAACCTTAAAAAAATGGCTCTGTAGCTGGGCGATGGTGGCCAACACCTTTAATCCCACCATGGAGGCAGAGGCAGGCGGATCTCTGAGTTCAAAGCCAGCCTGGTCTACAGAGTTCCAGGAAAGCCAGGACTGTTTTACAGAGAAACTTTCTCTCAAAAAACCCAAACCAAACAAAACCAAAAAACCGGCTTCGTAAAACCCACTAAAAGGCAATATGCAAGGAAACATTTTTGAGCAGGGTGTCCTTGGCTTCCAGTATACTTAAGTGTGTCCATCACCTCTGGTCTTTTCATAAGT